TAACATGTATACCAAATTTTACCAATTTCATATGTATACTAAAATTTTCCCCCCCACCCCCCACCCCCCCCCCCCCCCCCCCCCCACACACCCCACCCACCACCACCCCCCCCCCCCCCCCCCCCCCACCCCCCCCCCCCACCCCCCCCCAACCCCCCCCACCCCCCCCCCCCCCCCCACCCCCCCCCAAAAAAAAAAATAAAAAAATGGATTTCTTCAAAATTTATCTATGGGTGCTTTTCTCATTAACATTCAGTCTCTATGTGCATTCACAAGCATTATTTCACTGAAATCTTTCTACAGTTTATGCCTTTTACTGCTATAGTACTTAAGAGAAATATTTTTTCACCATCAACTGTAAAAAAATGCTCCTTTCCAGGAGTCCCTCACTCTGGTGGCTACCATGCTGGTAGTTGAGAGGTAGATAGCTCCTCTCAGTTTATGTGAAATAGGGGAGGCCTCTCTTCTCAGTCCTGGAGGGACCTTGAGGACATCAAAGGGGAGCAGAGCTGTACTGGGTAGGGCTGCAGTTATACTGCTCTGGTGGCCACCAGCAGCTGGACAGCTGTTTCTCAAATGTAATTCACATCACCTATCAGACTTCCACTCCTGCTCCTCAAAGCTGGGAATCCTAGGCTTCCATCCCAAGGTGGTTCTGACGAATCTGAATTCTTACCTCATCATGTAACTTTGTTCCCTGAGGTCAGCAAACTTGCCCCTCACTGTTCCTTTCTTCATATGCTGTTTTATCTGCCCATTCACTGTGATGAAAAGTTTTTAGACTTTTTTGTTAAACTCTTACAGGGAAAAAATTTGTGAATGATGATTCCATTTGTGTGCTGGGAATAAGCAAAAGAAATCTCCTTTTCCAACCAGTGGCAGAACTGAAGAAGGAAACGGATTTTGAGTAAGTCAATAAAACACTGACTACCCTCAGAAGGGGTGAATAATGACTCATGAGGACAGAGGGACACCACTGGCCTGGTTATTGTAATAGTTTGTTCAAGCATTTTAAGGACACATGGGCTTTTCTGAAGCAAGGGTAAAAAATAGTAGACTCTTAGAAATAGGGAAGAATATCTTTTTTTTTTTTTTTGATGGTTCTAGACTTTGAACTCAGGACCTGACATTTGTGAGACAAGCACTCCACCACTTAAGCCATACACCAAGCCCTTCTTTCCTTTGTTTTATTTTTCAGGTGGATTCTTACACTTCTGCCTGGGGCTGGCCTTGAACCCAGGATCCTACCTTTCTAATACTGCATAGCTGAGATTGCAGGTGTGCACCACTGTGTACACTTGGCTTGCTTTTAAGATAAGAGTCTCACTAAATTTTCTGCCTGGAGTGGCCTTGAACTATAATCCTCTCATTTCTGCCTTCTATGTAGCTGGGATAACAGGCACATAACACCACACCCAGCCCTTAGAATTTCTAGAAATATAAAAATGTTTGTTTTCTCCTATGAAAATTGCTTTGTCATTTCAGTTTTCAAATGTGACTCACTCCACAAAATCCATCTTTTTCGGCAAGACTATCTACTGGTGGCCACGGGACAGTTGAAAGTTGGGTTTTAGTGGCAAGCGTGGTACTTACTGATGTCTTCTGTTCTTGCACAGGCACAGAATTCCCAAAGTGCAGTGGTGGCTGAAACTCCGACCTCTCATGAAGATCTTGGCCAAGTACAAGGCGAGCTATGATGTATCCGACTCAGGCAAACTGGAGCATCTGCGTCTCCGCAGCACCCAAGGGGAGCCTGCCGCCATCTGAGTGCCCCGTGCTGACCACCAGACCTACACATGTGCCTCGGGAGGCCTGGAACTCTCCGGGGACCATCCTTTTTTTGTAACATTTAAGTTATTTATCAGCACTTTATGCAAGGATTGCCGACCAAGTATTGTTGGCAGTAGTACGTAATCAGAAAGCACTGGTCACCAGTGTCATTCTCATCCCAGTCAGACCCGGGAAGTTAAGTCCCAACCCTCACGCGCTCCATCCAGTGTCAGTAGTCTACTGTACCTTGTCATGTCTCGTGCTTTACAATGTATGTATCTAGTGGAATTAAATATTTGACTAAAACTCTCAGGTACTCAGCTTATTTTTAAGCAAGAGTTTAAAACAGTAAGATTATACTTTGGTGGTCACTAAGGGACTTCTCAGGAGTTTTGTGGGCAGAGGTGAGCACAATATCTTTATAGGGAATCACCAAACTACCCAAGTACGAAGTGGTAGGAGGAAAAAAGACGCTTTGACAAACGGCAGCTACGTTATGCTAAGTCAATACAGAGCTCCCCTTTTGGCCCATGCTCAGGGTTCATGTGGAGAACAGCCCTGGGCCAGAGCTTGGGCCTGGCTCTGACTGTGAGGACAGTGCAGGTGGCTGAGGTTACGGTAACTCCAGGCTCTCAATCTCCTTTGAAAGGGAGATGAGGTGTAGAATTAAAAAATGAAAAATATGGACATATGACTTAAGAATAAGCTATCTTGGGGCTAAGGATGTAGCTTAGTGGTAGTGTTTGCCTAACATGTGCAAGGCCCTGGGTTCAATTCTCCACCACCAAAAGAGAAAAAAAGTGTCTTTCCTTGATTTCAGTCCCACTTGCACATTAAAACCACCAAGTTGGTTTGTAAGAGGAATCTGATAGCAGTATTTCCTATAGGTCAAAGCAGTCATGGTCCTGGTTGGGGCCTGGGTTTAGATTCTGGAGGATTCTGCTACTGATGATGGGCAATGATAAAGACGTAGATGACAGCCCAGCTGAACTGATGGGTCTTTACTCTGCAGGAAGTTTGCATTTCTGCCTCACTTTCCCTGTGTACTCTCAGACATAGAGACATCCATGCACCAGAAATGGAGGAGAGTAAAGACGATGATTAAAAGTAAGTTCAGTTTGGGAAACCTGAGGACAAAACAATAAAGGGAGGGCTGTTACTAAGCACTGTTTTTTTAAGTACTAGGAACTGAACCAAGGCCTCACATATGCATGGCAAGCACTCTACCATTTGAGCCATGCCCCTAGCCCCAAGTTTTCTTTCTGTCTCAGGAAAGATGAAGCGGGAAAGCTCAAGCTGACAGTGAATCACCTAACACACCCAGTTCTCTTAGATGGATTCCCACCGGGCTGCCCTGTTTGGCTCACATCTGTGGGGCAGACGTCTCTGCAGGTCCGCATTTGGTGTGGTCACACATCCCACAGGCAGGCAGATGCTGGAGTGCTCTTCACTTTGGCGTTTTACTCATCATTTATTAATGAAGGTCCAAACATGCACTACTTTAGCAAAACATCATTGAAAATAATGACTAAAACACAAGTAGTCACAGTTGCCTTTTATTTTTTAAAATAAATGTTCTAAGATTAAAAATGTTTTAAAATTCTAATTCATATTTGGCATTTGATTTCTTCATGATCACCACATATTTCCCTGTTTAAGACAATGTGTCCAAGTTGACAGTCAATAAATACCTTTCACAAAATTTTAAGAATGACATCATTATGGGCTTTTGGAAAAAGCACCCATGTTTCTGATCTTTCAAATTACATTTAGCTCAGAGGCTTCATTTTTAAGAGTTGTCCTGAGTTGCTGAGTATAGTCAGAAATACTAGTGACCAGCTATCTTATTATCCATGATGGGTCCTTAGCAATTTTTGCATTCTCTGGTCCAAGTATGGCCAGTCCATGTGTGCTCCTCCCGATGGCAAGGTACCTGAAAGAAGAGCGTGAACCAGACTGTTTTCTACATTAAGTCAGGAAATCTTCCCGTTTCTGAATTTCATCTTCCCTTACTAAACACAGGAAATCACCCCTGGTACTCACTTATTGCTCACAGCAATGAGTTTGTCATAGCTGACGGCAAAGAGCTGTTCCCTGTGTGCCTGCCTCATCTCATCAGAGAGGCCATACAAGAAGTGGTCCATTCCTAAAAGTTAAACCACAGGCATACGTAAGAAGCTGGCTTATGCGAAGGGGCTTGTGCTCACAGCTTAGTGGGGACACTGATGTCACTTTATGTATCCTTCAACCAAAGCATCTACATGGCGTAAAGAGATGAAGCCTTGGCCTCCACCTCCCACAGACTCCTATTTTCAGAGTATGGAAGAGGTAAGGGTTGCATAAGGCCAGTAATGTGAACAGAAGTGGCGTTGTGTAATGAAGTGGCCATTTTCCTGCTGTGTCACAATGTCTTTCACATAACCAGCAAGTTACATTACTATGGGCCAGCAGTCTGGCTTCGCTGGGCTTTGGATCATTCAGGTTCTGAAATGATGTGAGCTGATTCACCTGAAATGGCAAACATCAAGAGGTTTCTTACTGGATGTCAAGAAGTATGTTTTCAAGATCATTGTTTAGACTGTATCAAGAAGGACAGAGATGGAGGAAACAAATAACAGAGTTGCTACTTGTGGTCCACACAAGCCAAGCAGCCAGTAACTGACAAGCTGTGTGTGTAATTCTGTGTTAACATCACATATCAAGGTTCTCATTACTCATACTACCTTTGTCAGAAGGGGCAACCGGAGCGTCCACAGTGGAGAAAACAGAAAGTTTAGCTTCATCAATGTCCTGCTGTGTGAACTTTCCAGATTTAGCCCAGTCCACTGCCTTTCCCAAAAGACTGCAGTGTTTCTATTGAGTTTGGATCCCTGGGAAATCAGAGAGCCCAAATAATGAAGCATTTTTCCAACAGAAAAAATTGTAACAATCATGTGTTGATGTAACAATTCTTCAACATTTTCTATTTGTTAAGGGCTCCATTTTAACACCTCACATCCCACACAGCCTGCTGACAGTGATTACTCTCTGCAGAAATTTAAATGTGACCATAGCAACCTCGACACACTTTCCCTGTGCTTAGTTATTACAAAGTCTATCTGCCTGACCTTACGGCCTGATTGTATAGAAGCACCTGCTGTGATCTGGGAACACAGTCAGGATTATCCAACTTCTGAGGTACTTCCCCATGTCTAGAGGGAAGGACTCCCAGCACCCCATCACAGTACTGAAGATACTTCAGGAGCAAGAGGGAGGATGTGCAGTCTGCCCTGCTTGTCTATAGTGTGGCACCTGGCATGGGCAGACAGACCATGGGTATGAACCAACTCAACGCTGTTGGACCAAAAACTCAGTGGCAAGCACTCACTTTAGGATACTACAGTACATGTGTTCAGGAAGTAGGGCCTCAGAAACGTACAAATTTAGTATAAAGAAAATGGCCAGTTTTAGGTCAATGAAAACCCAAATGAATAGCACCCATAATAGACATCTACAATTAAAATGAGCCCAGACACCTAAACATGCTAGTTATCAAACTGGGATTTACTTACAACTAATGATAACTACTGCAAACTACTGTTTCTCATCCTTGCAACACAGAGAATATTGCTGACTGTGGCTAGGTGCTTGAGAAGGGAAACAAACAGAGACATGCCTTTCCTTTTTCTAATGCTGACTTCAAAATACAAGAAAACGACACTCTGGTAATTAATTGAGCCAGTAAGTACAAGTGATATGATGTGCATGTGTGTTCACACATGGGAAATAATGAAAAGACAACTCACCTGTAAGAGTAAAGAGTGAAAATTCCATTATGGCTGAGTTTAGCACCTCCACCATAAGCACCCCCTTTTTCTCTAATTTCTGTATGCAAGAATTTAGCAGTCATCAAACGTGCAAGGATCTTAAGACTGAAATTAAGGATTAAAAAAATGCAAGTTAAAACATGGTTGATAGGAAGTTATTACATATAAGCACAAGAAATGCTGTGAATATAATTAAGTGAAAATGAAAATAAAGTCAAGGTGTAAAGTGATACACAGTTGGTCTTCTCTTCCTGAGGATCAACAAATCAAATCAGAAATATTTTCAGAAACCGAGAAACTATTTGTACTGAACATGCACATTTTTTTGTGTTTGGGGGTATGCCCTAAACAATATACCATAACTGTTTGCACAACATTTATACTGTATTAGGTAATTACAATTGATCTAGAGATGACTTGAAGCATATGGAGAATGTACTTAGGTTATGTGACACCTGCAAGGGTCCTGGAACTAACCCCCCATGGCTACTGAGAAATGACTGTATACATAAAGTCCTACTCTTTCCTTTTTTTTTTTTGATGAACAAAATCAAAAAAGCTAAGAAAGAATGTGAGGAAACAATTTTCAAGTAGCTGACCTGGATCATAGGAGGTGAACAAAAAGGAAGGGTGCAGAGGAAATACTTTTCCTCAAAACACTTTCACATAGCTTAACTTGTAATACACACAAAGCATTTTTAAAAATTTTATAAAGTAAAAAGAGGTTATTTTTATTATGAAGGTAAATGTACAAATGATCATTCATTTAAATGTTGCACAACAGAATATAGAAAAAGAAAACTAAATCACTCAGATACAGCTTTTTATAGGTGACCCTCCCTAAGAAAACATAAACACTCCAATAAGGAAAATTTTCACTAATAAAGCCTGTTTTTCTACTAATTTCCCTTGTGAGTGGTTATACCTGAAGTCCACACCAAAGGCACAGGTCTGCCACTTAGGCCTGTGGTGAGAGTCAGTCCCCAACTCCCACCCACTGACTTGTTTTCTAAAACAGATGAAGAGGCAAAAGACACCAGATGAAAGATCAAATGAAATAGAGAATGTAAGCTTGTTTCTAAAAGACTGTCAGGTGAAGTCATGATGCTTTCCTGTGGCCAATTAGGAGAAACTATGTGTGAGGGGTGAGGTGTCAGTCAGGGCTGGCTCCAGGACTGTCCTTAAGCTAGGGACCAGCAGAGTAGGAGAGTGGCCCTGGCAGAACAAAACCTCCACTTATATGTGGGACTATGGTTTTTATCCATCTTGTTATTTTTCTTTAAAATATTTTTACATCACATAAAAAAATAAGTTCACTGTTGAAAAATTGTAAGATGTGGAGTGTAAGTCAAGCATTTTGAAGGGAGTTTGTGTTTAGGTTTATAGTATCTGTGTTATTTACAGGAATGTTCGAGGAATATAAATTGGTTAGAAAAATAACTAGTCAAATGCTGGATGCTTTGTTCATAAAGGCTTTGTTGTTCACAGACTATTCGGGATGTGTTCTTTTGAGTTTCTCCACTGGAGTTCTTGTTGACTAGATATAACATCCAATGCTCAAAGTCAGTGCAGAAATTTTCTGAGGAGCAAAGCATGCCTTTTTTTACTTCTAATATGCTTGACATCCTTTTCTATTAGGGTACAGAGCCAGAAGAGAGGTTATTGCTCTACCACCTGCCTCCTACCTGGCATGATCTGGATCTGTGTAGGGAGCAGTTCTGACACATTCACTGACATAATTCACCGGGAATGGCAGCAGGAAATGCGTCTTCATTTGGCAGGCCTTAAAAGTGGGGTCCTAAGGGATAAAAGTGTATGGGCCAGATCAGACTGCAAGAGCCAGACACAGCCCACAGGTGCAAAGACTATAGCTACTGTGTGAAGATCTTCAGTGTGGGAGTCACAGCTAGGTGCTACTATTTAATGGCAGGGCACTAACTACAGTTGTCATTACACACAGTACCTCACTTCAAAGCAAATACAAGATAGTCTAAACTTGACAGGATGCTTTAAAATACACCTGTTACTAAATTAAAAACATTTCAATCTACACTACTTAGACTGTAACTGATTCTCCAGGAATATAAAATTGCCACACTGTATGATGAACCGGTCCCAGTGGCCTCATTATGAAAGCTGAGTGGGTAGAAAGGATCACTTCCATTGCTTAACTGAAGGCGCTGGTGTGACATTTGCACACCTGGCTCCATTAATAGGAAGATCAAATGGAAGGTAATGCGGCCACATGGAGTAACGCACGTCCTCCTCATCAACCCAGAGGTATGGCACTTCCTTGGCATTGTCTCAAGAGCAGGGGCTCAGGGTGGTCTGGTGGCAGTTAACAAGCCACAACCAACCCACAAATCTGAGGATATGGTTTAGCCCAAGAATGGCTCAGAAGGGAGACCTTTCACAGTCAGACCCACAGTGTGAAGGCACCAGCACAGTTCCCTGAGGCCAGACAGACAGGCCACTTACTGTGACCAGCTTCTTTATGATCTGGGAGCCATTTGCCTGTGTGCTTCCACTGGAGCCGCTGTGCACAGGTTTCTGAAAATAAAATGTTTTCCAGAGAAATGAGAAAAATACAAATTCACCTGAAATAGCTAAGAATACGGTATGGACTTTATAAAATGCACAGAGATCTAATAGGTATTTGGGAAGATATATTTAACTGCTTTAAATAACAAATGCTTAAATGCTTTAAAGAAGAGAAGAATTTCAATAGATTACGTAATACTTTAAACTCTTCATTCTGCCTTTTGTGCTTTCTAGTCCTAAAATAGTATGTAGAACAAGAGGTCATGTAACAGGATAGGCTATAGTCAGAGGTACAAGGAAGCAGGAAGCCACCTTCCCGTGGTCTCTGCTCACAGGGGAGATGAAGACCTAATGAGACAAGTGGGAGATGAAGACCAACTCACCAATGGAAGAAGGGACATGTGAACATCATCAGAGAAGACAACAGAAAGAATTCCTGCAAAATCTGCACACTGCCTGCATTCTCCATTGAGAAGCAGAGCTTCTCTACCGATACCAGTGAAGCACACTAAAGCCAACCTTACAAGTTCATTGAAATTGACTCGATTAACTGATACTGTTCTAGAGAACAGTCCATGAATTAGTGAGTCACAGGAGAAAAGGATTTTACCAGTGTGTCTTCCAAAGCCTAACAAACAGAGAAGACGTTTCACTGGATTACCGTTTCTGGTATTTCTATATTGTCATATCCCAAACCAAGATTTGTTATTATACGCAGTAAAAGACTTCTTGTTAGGAAATTATTTACTGCAAAGGAGCATAGATCTAAGTTTGCTTCTTAACCAGGGCAATGCTGAGCCAGTTAACTTAATCCTGCTGATCCTCAGTTTCTGTAGTAATGGGGGTATTACCACTTCCACATTGGCTAGTTTGGGGAAGTGAATGAGTTCACACATGTAAAAGATGAGGACTACAGCGGGCGTCTGCTTGGCCATCAGCCTTGCAATTACCTCGACCACATGCGGGCGCACAGGTTTCCGTTCCTTCTTACTGCGACCAACGTTTCTGATGAAGTTTTCTACCTCTTTTTGTGCCTGCGACATCTGCTGAGGAGTGGCATTCACTGAACATCTGCTTATAAAAAATACATATACATAAAATCATTACGATAAAAACAAAACTCTCCTAATTCATCACATTTTGTATAAATACGGAAGTAAGTTAGTAGCATTGCTTTTGTGTAAAATCATACGCAGAAATATGAAAAAAAAACACAAACAGTATTGAGATGTGGAGCTCACACAGCTGCCTTTACTTCTCTACAGTGCTTTAAAATTATCCAATACTTTCACACATTTCAATGTGTCACAGATGATAAATAATCATTAACATGTAAAGACAGTACTTCTGACTAAATTCTGTGTTCTTCTGAAGGGCAAACAAAATAAACGGAACAGTAAGATCTGCAAACAATGCCTTCAGGTCACAGTGTCAGAAGCCTGAAAAAAAAATTACCGTCTAGAAATTAGCAATTAAAATGTAGTCTGGCTGCTAAAGTAGAAATTATGACATGACAAAAACGTACCAGGCTCTCAAAAATACTTCCATATGACCCTTCCAAATTCTAAAGACTCATAAATACTATCATGTAAAATTTACTTGAACTCTATAGTGTATCAACAGAGTGTATTTTCTCCCTTTTGGCTGTAAATCCTAAATTAATTTTAATTAAATTACTAACAGGTACCAGTAAACTAATATTAACTACATTGCAGGCTTTATATATTCATTATTTCTTTTATCTCTTACAATAAACCTGCAAAGCAGGGTTTTATGGAGAAGGAAGGTCCAAATGGCTACATTGCCTAACATGGCCCAGGATAAGGAAGTGCAAACCAGGCCCGCCTAACACCAAGGCGGGAGCACTGACCACCAAGGTGCTCTCCTGCTACTCACACAACATCCTATAGAATCTGTTGCTCATTCTCAAGAATTAACTAGGGAAATGTACCAGGACTCTGCAAAACAAGCAGCTTCAGTAATCATTTTCTTGTTAGGTACTAACAAATGCTAAATTGGTGTCACTGGTAGGAAGATGTTGCAAATAAACTGTTAATAATTTTAAAATTTTATTATTGCTCAAACCTGAGGGCACAAGGCCATCTTTATGTGTATGACTGAGCTGATTCATTTTATAATTTTACTTTGTCTGGTTTTGAGCAAGCTGATCTCATTGGATCTTACTGATTCCTTGTTTAGGAAATGTTTGTGTTTGGAAGCAGTATAATTTTAATTCTTTATTCAAAATTTCCTTTGCACTTCTAGAATCAGTTTGCTTTCTTCTCAAACTCCAATAACTTTTGTTAAATTTATTCTTTTCATTCCTATAGAAAATGATTTCCAACTATATTAGAACAGCTAACATCTAGAATTAATTCTGTAACTTACATCTACTAGATCTACAAGATAAGTTTACATACTTTTACCTTCACATGAAAAGTACATAAAAACTGTTACTACAAGTATGATGAATCTCAAGATCACGGTTTAGAAACAAATCATGACCCACCTCATGTTGTCACATTTTAGCAGATGCTTCTTGATCCGTGGGAGCTTTTTCAGGATTGGCTTCACATCTGTCATTTCTGCAATTCTCTTCATCAACCTCACCTGAGCCAAAGGAATCGCCACACTGAGATTCAGACTACAGACAGACCCCTCTATCTGAAAACCCCCCAACCTCAGAATCCTGTCTGAGCGGAAGACCCGTCTTCACTTTATGCCTGTGTGTTTTAATTGCCAGCTTAGGGAGGGGTGGCATCGGGGAAAGGGATGCCACAAAGAGGAAACTGAGTTAAACAAATTTTCTCTATAAAATCTGGAAATTAGAACTCAGAATTAAATTAGAAAGTTAGCTTTTCTGCATTACAAAAAACTTATTACTGGAGAACATTATCAGCTCTGGAAGAATCCTGGAACCAGAACAACAGCATCCCAACCTGATCCCCACCTGGTCCATCCCACTGAAGGTCTCCTGCAAGTCCCCCGCAGGTGTCAGGGTCTTGCTTGCTCGGAGAGATGCATAGAGATGACCGGAGTCGGGGATTCCGTTGGAGAGCTCCTGTGCAGTCATCTTCACCAACACTCTAAAGTGTTCTTCTTCTTCAAAACATGGGCTACGGTGAAAAAACCCAGCAAATTTCTAGTGACCCATACATGTGCCTTTCACTATCTTGGACAATTTATTACATCTAATTTTTCAGAGTATTTCACCATCTTCAAATATTTTATGAGTCCATGGGAATTACAAGTAAAATCAACTTAGGAAACTAATGATTGACAAATGACTAAATTCTTCTACTTAAAACATTTCAGAGCATTTAGAGTTAGGTCTCTGTTATACCCCAAGGATAAACCTCTTTTACAAATAAAGTTACTTGTTAAATATTTCACTCCATAGGTGCATCATGTCTGGCAGGTTTCGATCCAGGCAGAGAGATGAAAAAAGCACACCCTGTATCATGAAAGGAAAAAAAAATTAATTATGGTGTAATTTAAAAAAAAAAAAAAAAAGACACTATAGAAACCAGCCTTTGACTACAGTGTGGTCTAGAAACAAAGGATTACCTGCTCATAGGTGTCCAGATGTGACTCGTCAGGGAGCACATGGGGAGAAACGGTCATGCCTCCAGTCTTCAGTTCTATTTGCTGAGCTTGTTCTCGGTAGTCAAGGATGCCACAGCCCAGCCTGGTGCGGCAAAAACTTCCTCAATGACCAAGAAATCTGTACCTGGCCATTTCTAAATCACTCATCTTGAGTTACAAGTTAGTTAGGTTAATTTATAATCACAGCCTTACAAACCCCTCTTTTTATTCTTGAAAGGCCTTTGAGCTCAAATGCATTTTTGTATCAACATTTTGCTCCTGTGCCTCTCCACAAGCTGGAAGCTAGGTCCTCGTCTTCAGGGAACTCACTTCCAGTGTTCAGGCCTCTGGACACTTAGGCAGCCAATGTATAATGCTAAGTATGTCCAGCCCTAAGTTTGTAAATGTTTTATATTTGGTAGATGGGTGAGAAATATGAAAAATAAGTCTTTGTAAGCTTTTAAGAAAACCAGAAATCTTCTTGGCACTGATACTTTTGTAAAAACATTACCACTGATCTCCAAACAGGAGAAATAATGTGAGTCAAGGGGGATGACAGTCAGGTCCTCTCTAAAATGGCTATAAAAGGACAAGCAGTGGAAGCGATTTAATAAAAAAAAAAAGGCAGGAAACACTCCAAAGATGGAGACATTTTCCATGTGATACAATCCTCAGCCAGGGTGCAGGTCCCACCAACACACAGTGTTCTGCAATGTACAAGCATCTTTACAAAATGCACTGGACTGAGCAGCAGGCCACACACTATGTGCACTGTGGTTTAGATTTCCTCTACTTTCCTGTGACAGAAAAGGAAGCCTATAGCTCTGTCTACTGCTTCTCCTGCACCCTGGCACTTGTGAACACTGTGTGTGCACTCATGCATTCATTTCCTACTCTATTTAGGTACCTACTTATGGAGAGCAACTGCAAAGTTAGTTCAGCAAAGAAAGGAAGGACAGGTACATCCACCTTCTCCCAAGACAATACAAGGCTTATGTCATGCAATAACTTGCTTATGCTTCCGAATCAAACACAATTATTCCTTTTCAAAAGCTTAATGGATCAATACCCTTGAGATAGAAGCATCTTTAAGTATCACCTAATGCTCCACACTCATGAATATTTTACTGTACTATAACAAGAAAATGCAATTCCTTAAGGAAACACATTTTAAACAAATATAATGTATACTTTACTTGAATACTGTAGCAGCACTATACATTTTTTAAAATAAAGTGATTCACTGAAAGGTAATTACTGTTACCACATTAAGACAGTACAGATATACATAACTATTAATAAGCCATACAAACAGATGCGCATCTGCTGCAATCAGACTCACTTGGTGAGGACGCTGCAGAACAGAGGCACATAGGGCTGCAGTTCCTCAGGAAGTGTGTTTAAACTAGAGAAGGCTCGGAAGTACACCATGCCGTTGGTGGGCTGAGCGCAGTACTGCACAGGGACTTCCTCCACTAGAAAACAAGTGACTAATGGTTTTTGACCAGTAAAATTTTAATCACTTTTAATATTCAAAATTCGGGGGATATGGCTCAAGTGGTAGGAACACTTGCATAACAAAAGGGAGTCCTGAGTTCAATCCCCAGTACCACCAAAAAAATAATACTGCTTTCAAGGGTGAAAATTTAAAACTAACATTAGCGAAAGAATACTATTCATGTGCTTTCTAGTTTGGAATAACCCCTACTGTACATTCATTACGATACAAATTAGCAACATTCTCCAAACCTGAAGTAATCCATGCTTTATGAAGAATTAGGAGGGAAGAAGAAGAATTCTGATTTCACAAATGATTTTAACAACATTCCAGTTGGTCCTGTCCCATCTTGACCTATAACCTTTACTGAAACCTACTTCATCACAGTGGACCTGACCAGGTCATTTCTACCTTTCCACCTGCCCCTCAAGTACAATGCTTATGGTTACGGCCCCCATGCAGCCCCTAGACCCTAAGCACGACATTCTGCAACACTCTTAGGATGCTTGTGGCCTCAGGTCACCTCCACCTCTCTCGATGGCAGGTACTGTGGACTCTTATCTTGCATACTACTACCTAGCAGTGTCCTAAACCAGAAGGACTAATGCATCCGCTGATGACTGACTGAGCCCTACTAATTATTTTAATGGGTGCTTAATCAAATTCACAGCTAAACAAAAAACATGGAGATTAAAAGTTCAGTAGGACATTAACCTGGCTTTTCAGAAGAAATTCTCCCTTCATCTCAGTCTCTCTCTCTCTCACACATACACAGGTCTATACAACAAATAAATCAGACATATAAACCAGACTATCAAAATATAAAGGTCAGGCTAGGGATACTTCACAGAAAACAGTGATGTTCAGAGTCTAAATCCTATCCTTAGGGTTGTCAAGTACTTGCTGAACATGCACAAGGCCTGAGAATCCCAAATCAAACAAACCAAATCAATCCTACCCTCCACAGTACATGTAAAGCAAATGCTGTGGCCACAGAGTCCAGCATATCCCCTCACAAGTTCACCAACACCTGCCAGGGGCATGCTATCCAGAGACACATGTCCCTTAGGCTCCAACCAGAAGCCAAAAAAAAGAGCAACTGTGTGAACTCATGTGCACAGACAGACTACAGAACAAAACATGAAAATAAGGCAGGAGGCAAACTGCAGCCTCCAGCTACCTCTCCATTCTCCTATTTTGTCAATACCTAAGCTTTGTGATGAGTTTCTTTATCCCTATACATCTTTTCTTCCATGCTGACAGCTGAAGAGTTAGCATGGGCAAAGGGTTCAGAGGACACCCACTTCCTTCAAAACCCACATTTAATTCAGCCACACGGAACCCAAATCATCTGATTCCAGAAGCAACGAATTTCAGAGCCACATCAAATCCATTCAAGAAACCAAACACAAGCTCTTACTGAACAAAGAAGGCTATTGTCACTGAAGGGTAAAAATTACACAACCCCATTACTTTGTACAATTAATACACACTAAAAAATGAGTGGAAAAAAGTTTTTAAAAAGTATCAATCCTATGAAGGCATATAATATCCATGAACTATCATAATTGAAATAAATGGGAAGAAAGGAAAACAATAAAATTGGTTGCTTAGTCCATCATTTATCTCATTAAGGATGTGACTTTGATAGAAGATGCACAAATATAAATTTTTCCAAATGATTTAGTTTAATTTATTAGAAAGACTTTAAAATTATTATTATTATTTTTGTGTGTGTGGTAGTAGTAGGGTTTCAACTCAGGGTCTCACGCTTCCTAGGCAGGCACTTTACTACTTGAGCCACTTTGCCAACCCTTAAAATGATTATTTATTTAAAGAAGATGCTAAAATTGTTTTACTGACTAAACAATACTATAATAAATTCATGTCTTAAACATTAAAAAAAAGGAAAAGAAACCTGAGACTGATCATGTGTTTGGCAGTACGGGGGTTTGAACTTAGGGCCTTGTACTTGCTAGACAAGCGCTCTACCACTTGAGCCACACTCAGCACCCGTGATCATGTGCTTGAATGTGGACCACTCCTTCACCCTCAACATGCATGAGGAATGGAAGTCTGTGAGAGGAAATCGAGCAAAACATGTGAGCTGCACATACAGTGACAACATGCTAAAACATCAATAACACAGAGTTCCTGTGGCTTTGCTAACAAGAAGGGGAAAAGGAAACAAAACGCATTTCTCGTTTTCAGATTTGCATCATGTACAGCAACGGACTCTTTGTCCAGTAGCCTTCTTGGTCCTTAGGCTCCAATAACGCTGAACACAAAATGAAAACAAATTTACAAGACAGGTATAGTAAGCCTATAAACTGGGACACTTGAATGTTTCCCAGAAAGCATCCAAACTGTGACCCTACTTGTGTGACAATGGCATTGCTCCCCTGAAAATGAGTGTGACAGTGACCTGCTGTTGTCACTTCCAACTCAGTGAAAGGCATGGTTGGCTCGATGTCCGAGACTTTTAATGCTGGGAGGCAGGAGGCATCTTGAGGTTTACTTTGCTGAGCCCGTAATTCTAAACCTAAAAACAAAAGGAACACTTGTGACTACAGTAAAAAGGTTTTACATATTTCATTACCTCTCTATCATTATCTTAGATTCAAATTAGCCACCCTGGGTCTGTGCTGGGAGCACAGCCACTGCCAACAGACCAGATGCACCCATAAGAGCATTCTGCAAGTGCTCTGACACCACACTTGCTCTTCTTTTGGATGTACTCAGGCAGCATTCAAAACATTCAGCATTTTCTTCTTTTCTTTCCCCAAATGACAAGCTCTCTTATAGTAAGGACTCTATTCCCTCATAGCACATGGATAAGAAAAAATTTGAGGATTAATGTTCTTAACAGATTAAATAATTTCTCATTCCTCCTTTTCCCATTGTAATTCCTCTACTGACTGGACTTTAATTCAGAAAGACTACTAGCACTCAAGTTCAAGAATTATTGACCTGAAATAACCATTAAATAAACTGGCACTGTCTCCTGAACTAGTCTTCTCTTGAAGACACTCCAAAAGCTGATCTGCACCTGACCTGTCCTCCCAAGTCTCCAGCCCCACACCTTTGCTTCCTCTACCTTTCCCCCTCCATCCTTCTCTTCTGTCTTTACCAAACTCATCCTACACACATCCTAGTGTGCTTCATGGCTAGCGCAAGTCCTTTATGCTGTACTGAGACTTGCCTCTCTGAACACACAGCTTACACTACCTATATTATTCATTTGGCAATTGACTATATACTGTGGTACGGCATAAATTTTATTTATGTAGTACAGAACCCAGTAAACACAAATAATTTATAAAATTCATAAAATGAATAAATCTCATTAAGCTACTTTTTCTTCTTTAGCTGTTTCTGCCTTTCCAGGTGACCTATGGTGTGAACTTTCTAAAAGGGCCAAATCACACAGCTAGAATGATTGCACCAAACATGAACTCTGTAGGTGCCCAACAAATACTTCTCCAATTACTACCTCACGAAAAACTTCACTAAGTATGGCTGAGGGTAGTGAATTACCAAGCATCAAATGAAATATCTGACCTTTTTCATAGATCTGTTGCTTGTCTTTCTGGGAAAGAGAATTGACCTTCTGCTTTAGTTTTTCTGTTTCCAGTTCTGTTTGTTTCTCATAATACTTGTCATCTGGTTTCATTGATAAAGTCAGCTTATGCTGATTATTCTGCAATAAGCACAGCAACAACAAAAAGAATTAAAACAAGACTTTGTTAAATCAAATCTTAACATACTAAACCAGCCTCCAGTGGTGTGTTCTTCATGCTCTAGTTCTATTTATTCACGTTTAAAATAATAACACCAAAAGGGCTGCAGGTATGACAAGTGGTGGAACATCTGTCTCGCAAGGGTGAAGCCCTGAGTTCAAAAATCCTAGTACCACCAAAAATGAATAAGTAAAAATGATAAAGTATCTCAGTGTTGTTTTGTACATTAAAGCATGTAAGACATATAAAATCCTTACAACCATACCTGCTATGTAATAAGTACATACTTCATATACACTCTTATATTATGGTTAGAATTATCATTATCGTGACTATGCCTCTTCCATAAATGTATCAATATTTGACATTTTCTTTAGCTCTCTGTTGTAAAAAGAAAGCATTCTTTTTGGTATAATTTTTTAAAATTTTGACTTTAAATTAATGTTAACAGAATTCTAACACTTTTACGTAGTATTCATTATACTATTAATATCTGAAAGGCTGAAACTAAACTCATTCACTAACTTATAAATTATTTGGATAAAACAGATGTTGATCTAATGTAAAAATAAATATTAAGTGCTTTAGCATGCTTCTCTTATTTATTTCAACATATTAAACACACAAAATGGTCACTTGTAACAGTACGAAGAGGAGATGAGGAGTACAATAGCTGGACTGATGGTCTAAGCCTATAATCCTAGCTACTCAAGAGGTGAAGATGGAGAGGATAGCAGTTCAAGGGCAGCCCAGTGGTGGAATTTCTTCAGACGTCATCTCAACCAATGCATGGTGGCATGCCTGTCACCCCAACCATGCAGGGAAGCATAAATAGGATGGGTCCAGACCAGTCCAGGCATAAAATGAGACCATATCTCAAAAATAGCCAAAGCAAAAAAGGATTGCAGAGTGGCTTGAGTGGTAGAGCACCTGTCTAGCAAGCATACAGGAAGAATTCAACCTCCAATAGTACAAAAACAAAGAAAGTACAACAAAAACTTGTTAACAAAGATGAGTTGTAAATCACAGGATTATATTATGATCCATGTCTTGAACAATGGCACATATTAAAGCAGAATTGGCCTTTAAAAAATAGATAACACTCTGAGCCACCAGGAATATATTTTAAAATGTTCTACCACATTGATGAATATAAACAGAAAATACACAACCAAGCACAAACATCTAGAAATTTAGGAAAACAAATGAGCAAGCATCAAAATAATTCAATCATATATTTAAAAAAGCACACACATATTCATGTAAAAATAGAACTATCAATTTATATTACAATCTGGAAAACAGAATTTGAGCTAATTTAAGCACTTACATTTATAATTAGAAACTAAAAAACTGTCATCCATTGACAAAAATTGATTTACACATATAGATTATGATCTTAAAGCTACTTTCAATATTTTGAAATCCAACTTCAAAGTTATAGACATTAATTCTCCAACTGTCTTACCTTAAAATACTGTTTTACTTTTTCTTGCAAAAATTTGGGATTTTCCTTAAGACACCGCCTGAATCTAGCTAACTGGTTTCCTATCTGCAGGAGCTCCACAGGGTCCCCATCGTGATTCCAGCAAGAAGCTATGTACTACAATGAAAAATTGTAAATTCACATTTACCCTCCAATACTTTATCACCCCAGTAAACATCAAAGGCATGATCATTTATTAGGACCCTAGTTTCTACAATTACAGCAAAATCTGTCATTATCTGGCTGAAGAAAAAAAAATGCACTCTGACACTAATAAAATAAAAGGCACTGTTAAAATTGTTTTTAGAAATAATTGCCAACAGATTACTAGTCATCATAAATCACTACCTACTTAACAGTCTTCCTTATAATTCTAGTTCGCATAGAAATGCTATAATAACAAAAAGCCAATTAAGACAGTTACAAAATTAAACTATAAGTGCAGTATCAATATTAATGTATATTTCTGGTAGTGTCAAGGAGCACTAATTACAAAAGTAAAAACAGACAGAAACAAAACCAAGGCAGTTGAGAAGTCACATACTGATGTCAAAGCGAGTCCAAAGCTGGTAGACTGATGCTTCATTTGTATTTCAATTTTATGAAGCAAAGCTTCAATTCGATCATCTTCAAATCCTTTCCTAAAGAATTCAATTAATAGGTGCAATGTTGAAAAGGAGTAAAAGTTGAAGAAACACAAAGTAGCAGAGATAATATTTAAGTGACTAAATTGCACAAGGCTCAGTGCCCTCCCCACAAAGCACCCATGAATGAAGGAGGAATGCGAATCACTACAAACAGCCATACTTACTCAATGACTTCATCGATTGTTCTGTCTACAAGGTCTCTGACGGTCTGAATGTCTTTCTCTGCAATCCCCTGGAGACCCACACTGAAGTAGGCCTCCCTCGTGTAGCCATTATATCTAGAATACAAAAACACATAATGCATCATAATCTATGCCTTTCATCATTCATTTGTAAAGTGCTTTATGTATTTACAGATCAGGACTAAGAACTTTCAACTCCAGGGTCCTACTAAAGAAAGCTCACTAAACCAATGTTCTGAGACACTGGCTTAGGTGCAATTGGTCAAATGTACATTCAAGTCCTTCTAAATAGTTCTAAAAATCAATACAATTTAAGCTTCTGAATTATGATAAAAATAAATCTAGAAACAGAGAACTGCTGAATTTTACAACATCTTATGATTTTAAAGAATCCTTAATATGGCTTGACTTCTTAAACAAGAAACAAGCAGTATGACATCTTGTGACTTTGGGAAAGCTAGCTTTATTTATTCATTTCTTGACAACAATCCTTCAGGAGACATAAGTAGCTTGCACTGGAACCAAAATTTAATCCAGATCCCTGCTAGGGGATGGAGTGTCCCTGTGCACTGTGACACATCGACTTCATGCTGATAGCACCCTCTCCAGTTTTAACAACCCAAAATGTCCCAGCAGTGTCAAATGTCCCGGGGCAGGCAGGGCAATATCACCCCCAAATGAGAACTATTGAGCTAAACTAACAATAAAACTTACCCAACATCAGGGGAAAAGTCTGAGCCAAGTCCAGATTCAATTAAGGCTTTGTAAAATGGGGAATTGGGCCCAGAAATCAAGAGGGAAGACAGGAGATTTAATGTGAAGGCTTCAAATGTGTCAGTGATACTTCAATCAAAAAAAAAAAAAAAAAAGGTGGAGCCATGAAAGAAAACAAAAGGGAAAACATTATTGGTGGTTGTAAGTCATTTAAAATCATCACTAAATTATCACTTTTATTCTCTCAATAAGCTTAAATTGTACTAGAAATCATTGACTTCAACACTTATTTTAACAATTACATGAGCAAAAGAGAATTTTTTTATATACTGGGATTTTTTTGACCCCAATCTGTAATATTAATTTAGCTACATATCTGATGCGACCACATAACAGTCTGCCAGGTCCTGTCACATATGCTATTTCAGGCATAGCTACAACACCACATCAGCACCACTGAGTAGACAATGATGCCCCAGCTGTGCAAGTCACAGGCTGAGCTCAGGAGGGGCAGAAGGGTCTGCCGCCTTCCTTTCCTAAATGCTCTCCAGAGCATGAGTTCTAACCTGTTCTCCAAAGTCTTCAGAATTCGTTTTCTATGTGGTATATTTTTTCTGAGACAAATGTTCATAGTATTCTCACACTCAAAGGGATCTATGACCCCAAACTGTTAACAGTTGCTCTTTTAAAGACAGCTCATTCTCTGGAGGCATGGAACTTTAAAATATAATATGTAAATGACTTTTCTTCTGGATGGCTACCAAAAATGATTTTCCCAAACATGATGCTTGTTAAAAACTATGACATTTTGTTCTTTGTTCTTTAAACTTCCTTGACTCCAGAATCTAGCTGTATGTTAATTTGTACTTGACTGTCAAATCATTCTTCAACCTTCCTTCTAACCTGGATATTTTCCTACTGTCTTCAAGCTTGGAAGAACTTTAATGATGCATACTTACTCTGGTAACAGGAAGCTAACACTGATGGTTGTTTGTTTAGAGGCATCAGTAGCAAGTGAATCCGGGCCACATGTTACCTGGAATTCCCTCTGCAAAATGAGGTGATGCTTTAAGTAGGCAGAGTGTGAATGGCTTTAAAGGGACACAAGATATCTAGATTTATAAAATGGTCTAAAGACATGCTTTTCACTTGAGTTAACTTTCTGTTCAAGCAAATAATAATTCTTTAATCTTGAAAAGCTCTTACGCACACTGTATAGCTCAAAACATTTCAAAATATTATTAGCACACAGTTCTCAAATTGGATGAGGCACTTACGGGCTTATCCCAGGGCTTCTGGGCTGGCACTGTGGTACTTGGCTCAATTTTCTGAAATTTACTCAGCGCTTCTTCATGAATTTGTTTCAGGTGCTGTTCTAACTGAAAATTACCATAAGTGAAGAACCTAAAATTTTGAAGGAAAATATTACTTGATTTTGGTTTAAATGATTAGAAATCAATAGTGATGGCTCTCTGCATGAAATGTAGGATACACAGTTTGCAGGATTGGTAACAATCCAGTCTCCACGCTGAAGCAAACATTACATAAGAATATATTTTGTTTTCACTTAGTTTGACCACAAACACCAAACAGAAGCTTTTCCCTTTTTAATGAAAGGTGGGTAAAGCAAAACCCAAATCACACAGAAAGACTTAACTAAATGTAAATGCAACAAAAAGTGTTCTTTAGTCTTATTTCAAATCTGTCATAAAGGTAATACCAAAACCAAATGTGCTATTTTTAAAATATTTTATGACACTAACGATAGCAATACAATAATCCATCTAAACTAAAAGACAAAAATAAGGAATCTCATAAAATTCAAACTTAGGCTACAAATTTCAAATTATGCATGTTTTTAAGATAACATATTTATTATTCAACCAGAGGAAAAAGGTTACAATGCCAAAGTTGATTTTTTCCTTTACTGTAATGCTATCTGAGCTATGGGTAATTTGTATGTTAAAGAGCCTTTAAAAATGTTACACTCAAGGGTTTAGAAACAAATTTTACACCTTTAAGGGTGTGGATAATCCAGTAGCAATCAGCACCCCCTAGTGTCCACCCACTGATCTCTCAATGCCTTTCTTCACTTTCTGCACTCATCAGAAAATGGCTGGCTGAAGATTCAAGCAGGAAGAGCCTCCTGGTGCAGAAGGGTGGGGTAGATGAAAAACCAAAAATTCACTGAAGACTAAACTCTGCCAGAACTCCCAAGGGCCACAGATGGGACAATGTGAGTATAAAAATAAATTAATTAATAACTAAATTCCATTTTATCACACAACCTCCATGTGATCCTATTGGTACTACAAACAAAACAAAATAAAGAAGGCAGGAAATCAAGAAAGAAGCCTGTTTTGTCATCAATAGCAATAGCTCAGGCAACATTTCTCCCACTGAAGTTGAAAAGAAGCAGGCCCTGTCTTCCCCATGAGACCATATTTCAGGATGATTCAAATGCCCCAATTGAGGAAGGAAAGCTGTTTTTGCAGAAACCCAGAAAACAAATGTAGAAAAAATCATTATAAGAAAACTTTGCAAGTCCTAAGTAACTGATTCAAGCAACAATCATCAATACTGTGATGAAGAACTCAACTGATATTCACAGGGAATCAGAAATTGCACCCACCAGATGGCCTTTGGTTGTAGCAAAAAAAAAAAAAAAAACCAACAAACCAGAACCTCACAGGGCAAGAGGATGGCTGTCACCATCTGACCCACTGACATTAGCACTGCTATTGGTGCCTGAATAGGCACCGCAGTGCCAATGGGACGTGGCAGGGAATACAGAGCATCATCTATAAAGGACTCTAACCAAGTCCTTGGATGATTTTCCAGTTCTGGGAAATCTAGGGACAGTTAGTCAATGCCACAAAGTATCCACACAACCCAGAAAGTGAGGAAGCCCAGGCAAGCGTGGCCTGACCTCCCACAGTCCTCCGTGAGAGTGTATCCAGGACACACAAAATGACGAAGTATCATGCATGGGCCCCATGTGGATCAAATAGGTATCTGGGGGTCCACTAGAAAATCTGAATACAGAGTAAGAAACAGATGGTTTTAAGAAGGCATGTTGTCAGGCACCAGTGGTCACGCCTGTAACCCTATCTAGAAAATACCTAACACAAAAAGGGCTGTTGGAGTGGCTCAAGGTGTAGGTCGAGTTCAAGCCCCAGTACTGCAAAAAATAAAAAAGCATGTTTTATTTTGTTAAATGTGAAAAAACTATCTTATCTTATGTAAGAAAATATTTTAGGATCACAAAACTACTTAGAAGTAAGCAATTATGCCTGTAATTTACTTTAAAAAATGACAGGAAAGAAAAATAATTTACTTCAAAAAAATACCAGCAAAGAAGAGTGTATGAAGGTTCAAGATTCTATTTTACTTTTCTATATGCTTGCAAGTTTTCATAGTTCGATTAAAAATTTTTTATATAAAGTATATTTGCAGATATGATTTTGCACTAGGATTTATTTTTACATATAGTTATTAGCATTTGATTACTAGTGATATACGAAACAAGTGACTTATTAAGTATCTAAGGTTCAATTATTGCAACCACCGCTTACAGAGCACTTCTGCATACCAAGGGCAGCGCTCAGGGGTTTAGGAACACTGTGAGAATAAGTCTACAAAGTGGATGTCCTCACAAGCACTGCCATCCTTCATGTAATGAAGCTGTGACACAGAGGCCGGGATGGGGGCTGGGAGTCTCCACCAAGCGGCTCCACAGGTGTAATCAACGTGCCGTGCCAATTTAGAGTTATCACTATAGGTAATCTGAAATAAAGTCTGAGTAAGTTAGACTGGCAAACTTAAGCAAAGAGTCTTATCAGAACATATATAATTCTTTGCAAAATGTGAGAGAAACGTGTCATTTACTGTAAGAATGCAAACAAGTCAATCTTCATCCACCATTAAACCTTTATCACAAAGTTTTACCTAGCATTACTTGGGTGATAATGAGTAGCATGAAACTGTTTAAGTTGCTCCCATGTCAGCTCTGGGATGCACAATGGATCACCTCCGGAGATCACTGAGTAAGTATGGTCAGGAAGAAGTTTGTTCTGAAGGTGCTGTGAGAATATCCTCTCATTATCTGTCTTGAAATTTAAGGAGAAAATGAATAAATGAAAACTATATGTAAAATAATTGTGTACCCCATAACATTACCATCAAAGACAGACTACATATACAATGATTTTTCCATAATATCAGAATATGGCCTAGGTACGTAGTAGGCCATTTCATCTAGGTTTGTACAAGTATGCTCTGTGATGTTCCCACAACAAAATCACTTATTGATGCATTTCTCAGAATCACTATTAAGTAATAGGTAACTGAAAAACACAGAGTCACAATCCATCAAATAAATCACAAGCTGGACCTATCATACCTTGCACATAAAACTCCTAACGACATCAATGCATGTGTTGTTTAACTCAGCATTTAATTTACTCAGAATCTGCTCAGGGGACCCACGGACTTGTTCTCTTGGAAGGGAAGAACAATTGACTTTTCAATATGTACTGGGTGAACAACTGCACAGCTGAAATCAAGGAAAGCGCACATGGGTGTGCAGGATTCCTTTCTGTCCACTAGCCATCTGGACTAAAACGTGAGTTGCAAGAAGTATCTTGAAAAAATTGATAGCAAATGGAGTACGAAAGGTTAAGAAAGAGTTCACCACCTGAAAGAGGCCACAGGAATCAGGGAGAGACATGGGATATACAAGGTACCTCATGAACTTCAGAGAGACTAGGGCAGAACAGGGCAGTCTGTCAAGCCAGGAGAATACCAGATGAAGCCTGGCCTTTTATTACTGATGGCTGTTTCTACAGCACTAACCCCAGCTAATTCATTTATTCATTACATAAGGTGGGAATAGTGAATGAAATAACTACATACCAACTATTTTTCAAATGTATCTATACTTCAATATTTTAGACAGCTAAGATAACTTAATACAATAGAAAAAAGGAAAAACACTTACAAATGCTCCCTTCATCTCATTAAAGACAACGCCTTTAAAGATTAAGGGCGTTTGGGGGTCACTTGGATTCTCGTGTTCTAGTCGCCATCCTTCCTGCCTAAATAGATGATAAATAGATCAACAGAAGGTGATAGTGATTCTAAAACTTAAGTCTAATTCAAGTAGTCATTACTTACCAGAAATCTAGTTCCCGCAAGCATGGGAAAAAGGTTGCATCCAAATACACTGAGAGGAGGTTCTGAAAATCCATGGGATTTTGTGTGGAAAATGGATACAGAGTATAATCACTAGCTGAGGACAAATGAAAAGTCAGATTTTAAAATATGAGAGATTCCTACAAAAATTATTTACTTTCAAACGTCACTTGCCCACAACAGTAAATTTAACCATCAGGAGAACAAAAGGCAGTAAGGACCTCCCATTTCCTGTGGGCTCACCACTCTCCTTTCCCAGACCCAACTCAAGGTCTTCCCTTAATAGGCACTCATACTAATTCTCTTTTTTTTTTCATACTAATTCTTGCATGAACTTTCACACAGTTTTTATGTGCCTGGAAAAATAACCTTATCCTGCATGAGTGCCAATTTCATCTACCCTTTAATCCCCTCCCTCTATAGAATGCTCTGCTTAGTCAGCCTAGTCACCATCCTTACTTTGCTGAAAGTGAACCCAAACAATACTAGTATTAATTATAATGCTACAGATGCCACATATAGCAGTATTCCCAAAAGAATTCTGAACTTTTTCAGAAAAAAAAAGCATGGAAAACCTTTTTTCTAAATCCCCAGTTTTTATATGAAATCTGACCATGATATGAGTAGAGATTGGTAAAAATTTAGTCTACTACATTTATTCTTCTCTCTCTTTTTTTTTTTTTTTTTTTTTAAAGAAACTAACTGAATTGTTTGTGGCTGGCAAGCCCAACAGCGATTTTGTCTGAGGACATCAGTCTTACCTGTAAAGGCATTCATAAAAGTGGATAACGACCTGTTCCAATACTAGTATTAATTATTAATGCTACAGATGCCACATATAGCAGTATTCCCAAAAGAATTCTGAACTTTTTCGAAAAAAAAAAAGCATGGAAAACCTTTTTCTAAATCCCCAGTTTTTTATATGAAATCTGACCATGATATGAGAGAGATTGGTAAAATTTAGTCTACTACATTTATTTCTTGAACTTTTTCAGAAAAAAAAAGCATGGAAAACCTTTTTCTAAATCCCCAGTTTTTTATATGAAATCTGACCATGATATGAGTAGAGATTGGTAAAAATTTAGTCTACTACATTTATTCTTCTCTCTCTTTTTTTTTTTTTTTTTTTTTAAAGAAACTAACTGAATTGTTTGTGGCTGGCAAGCCCAACAGCGATTTTGTCTGAGGACATCAGTCTTACCTGTAAAGGCATTCATAAAAGTGGATAACGACCTGTTCAACATTTTGAAGAAAGGGTCTCTACATGGATATTTCTGAGAACCACACAGGACTGTGTGTTCAAGAATATGTGGAACACCAGTACTATCCATTGGAGTAGTGCGAAACTGTACACTGAGGCAAGGAAGAAAAGGATAAAATGGTACTGGTTAAGCTTAATACTGACCAAAAGAATTCCTGAGCCTATGATCACCGTTATTAAAAACAGTCATTCTAACATCAATCACAGCGTTCCAATGAAACATTTTCTGTCAATAACGTATGAAATCGCTGATTCAGACTGCAAGATTTTAATGTGTTTAGATGAGGAGATAAATTCCTATCATCATTCCCCTATCTTTTCAGAATGTTCCATCAATCAAAGTAAAACATTAATGAGATAGTATTTTATATATCTTAATGTATGGCAGATATTTTAAATGCAAACATGCAAGAATATGTTTTCCAATGCATCACACACCTGAACAAATTATTTTTGTCTTCCCTCGCCAGATGTAAATATCTGGCTCCTGTGTTGTCATGACTGAGCTTCACTGCAGTTAGGAAGAGTTCAGGAATACACGTCACCTGTGGTAAGAAGAAAACTGTGAGCAGCTAAACTTAGGTAGAATGGTTGCCTTCAACACACTGAGAGAACTGACTTTTCTGCCTTAAATTAGAGGACTCCTGGAAGCCAGAAGTTTAGAACTGGAAGGGCCAGGCCATTTTGTCCAAATTCATGGTCCTAAATGAAGAAAGCAAGCAGTATGCAGCGAGAATGCACGCTATTTTTTTTTCTTAGTATTTGCTCTGCATTTGTAAACATGCCTCATGAAACCCTGTGAGGAATACATTCCCATTCTCATTTATAGATGAAAAGAACTGAGACGCAAAGTGATGAAGAAAAGCTACCCAGATCACAGAGCTAGGATTCCCATAGTGTCTGGGTCCTTTCTATTATACTGTGTCACACCTAAATGCTTTATCTAGTTAAGAATTGGTTCTCAGTTCTCAGTGTTAAGTGGGAGTCATTACCAGCTGCTTGCCTCTAGTGGAAGGTAATCATGCACACATAGGATCTTCATAACACTGAGAAGAGCATAAATGCGCTCAACAAAAATGAATAGGTCGCTGTGCATAGTGGTACATGCCTATAATCCCAGTAGTTGGGAGGATAAGGCAGGAGAATCATGAGTTCAAGGCTAGCCTGCTGAAAAGAGAGACCCTGTCTTAACTGCCCTCCTCTTCACCACACACACACACACACACACACACACACACACAGAAGAGAGAGAGAGAGAGAGAGAGAGAAGGAATCCTCACTATCCAGAAATGGGGCAGTGGAGAGGGGGAGACAAGGGTGTCTTCTCTCACTTCATAAGCTTCCATAGTTCTTGATGTTAAAGAAAGTATCCTGTCTTCCAAATGTATGCCAGTTGGCCCTCTTTTCTTCAACCACACATCATATCACTGTGATACCAGACTGTACATCCACCATCCTCTTTTTTCAGGGGCCATGAAGTAACCTGGCCATTTTCCCAAAGGCAATTAATAACAAAACTGTAATTAGAAGTTGCAACTGTGAGCCTAATTTAGGGGCCTAACAAATATCACATGGTCTTCTGATGCCTACAAAATTTATGGCTGGTACTACTTATGTTTCCAAGTATAATGTCTTATACACAGATGATCAATGTATTTAAAATCAGCAGCAGACACAGTGAGAGGCCTGCCTAATAACAGCTTTCAGGGTAACTGTTTTCCAAACAAGAATCATGGCTTGTCATAAAATAAGCTGTTTTTTTTAATTTGGAAAACAAAGGTGAAGAATCTATCATTCTGAATAAGGTCTTTAGTAACAATAACTTGTACTATAAGTCCAAACTTTTCTGCCTGGCTTTTAAGGGGCTTCACAAATGCCCTGACCCTGTCTTCATGACTTACTTTTCCTGGACCTTCCCTCATGTCCTGACAAAAGATAAATGCTTTCTTTCTTAAATGCCACCTTCACCAGGAAGAACGCTGAGTCCCTCTCCCACCAGCAGTTCTATCACTGTCTTTTCTCCCCCACTTTGCCCATGACACTTCTGAATGGTGCTTGTCATGCTATGCCTTTAATATAGATGCATTACGAGGCTTTCTAGATTATAAACTGTTTGACCTTGTATTTACCATAGCGTCAAGCAGACCCAAAGCCAACAACTAAATATTTGAAGTGCGTACTTTTTAATTATTACATCAAAGATCCAGGCAAAACAAAGCAACAATCAAAAATTCACTTTAACATAAACCAAAGTAATACTGGCCCATAATCTCTTCTTCTTTATAATTTTTAGACCCAAATGGCTCAGAACAGTTTCTACATATGTTTAGAGCAAAGTATGTGAATGACAAAACATGACTAAAAAATGCAGGAAACTGAGTCTTTACTGATCACAAGCAGAGTGAACCATCAACTTTGGCTACAGAAACATCAGTGTGTTTGATTACAAATACCCTGCTGAGAGTGTTACTTTCTAAAATTTGCAAAGAAACCAGGCTTCAAAGTATACCCCTGGGGATCATTTCATTTGCAAACTGTCCTGTTGAACACTAACCACAGGTCAGGAACCACACCCAGGCCTGGAGATACAAAGATAAGAACTGCAGCCTTGGCTCTGAGGCGCTTAGATGCCAGCAGAAGCTGCATGTGTTACCTGCATCCATTTATAAAGCACAAACCCAGGCAGACCCATACCTGGTTTACTGTGAATCCGTGAATCTTTTCTCCCACTTTATACCGCAGAGCTTTCTCACTAGCTTGGTCACTCCTCTCCCTGCAGATTTTGTGGTGCACATTGCTGTATTTAAGAAAAGTTATTGTTAGATGGTTTTCAGGGAAGTTGTTTGGTTAACATAACTCAACAACATCATGGACCTATATATATAGCCATGTGGTAAGATAATTAACTAAAGAAAAATTTTATCTTGCATCTTCCAAAATCTTGGGCTAAACTCCACTAAATTAAACTCCACTAAAACTAAACTCCACTGAAGTTCTTTCCTTTAACCTTTTTATCTCATCTCAGATAAACTTTCATAGTATCAAAATCAACGATGCAATGTCAAAAACTCTTTATTTGTACATTTTCACAGATAACTACAATATTATGGTATAAATTTCCCATTACTGTACAAAAACAATTCTCATGTCAACATTCCTTCTTTCCATTAAATAATTCTCACAGGCCTTCACATTAAGTCAATAAATTTACACTCCAATAACATCTCATCACATATTTACCAAAAGAGTGAAAATTAAAGCCTAGTATCACCAGCAACTCTTATACCACTGTGCAAGTGGGAGTGCAGATAGGGGTGATTTTGTAAAAGCTTTTGGTGTTACTGTATATAGAAAATCTGAAGATTAGCGAGTCCTTCTCCTCTATCTATTTATGTATATGTCCTGGAGTGCTTGTACTTGTGTACAGGTTATGCTGGCACTAAGCTGAACAGCCCAACCTCACCCAACTCAGGTGGCCATCAACAGAAAGCTAAGGTCTATTCATTCAATAAAATAAACTTCGCATAAAAATAGACAACTGCATTTAAAAGGATGTGGGTCACATAATATTGAACAACAAAAATACAAGTCAGTGGAGCAGGACAGTACTGGGGCTTGAACTCACAGCCTTACACTTATGAGTCAGGCACTCTAACACTTGAGCCACACTTTCAGCCCTTTTGGCTTTAGGTTATTTTTCACTTTTTGCAGGGAGGGAGGGGGAAGGCAGGCACATACCGCCATGCCCAGCTTGTTTGTTGAGATGGAGGCTCTAGCTAACTTTTTGTCCAGGCTGACCCTGAACCTTGATCCTCCCGTCTTGAAGTAGCTGGGAGTATAGGCAAGGACCAGGCAAGTTTTTTAAAAGCACAACATTGTTCTACATAGGTTATTATTCAAACAGGTAACACTATTGTAGGAAATGTATAAAGATAGTAAAAATATAAAGAAAAAGCAGGGAAATCATTTTAAGTTAGGAGAATGACTTCCTAACAGGGAGGTAGAGGGTTATAACCAGTTAAGGGCAATCTTAAGCCCAGTAACACTGACACAATTTGCTTTTAGATTTTCTACACTACCATTATAACTCAGAAATATTTATTTCAAACATTATATGTACAGGGGGAAAAACACTGATTCAACCATTGACAATAGTACAGAAATAAGCTAAAATGAACCAAATTTCCTTATTGATTTAGAAAATTCTAGATTATGAGACGCAGAAGGATTTTAACAAACTATCATCAAGAGCACAAACATGTTTGAAACCCTGAGAGATGACACTAGGATTTACCCCCCACCCACTTTACTTTCTGGTGACTTACTACATACATGAGTAAAGTTCTTGCTGCCAAATTCCAACACTCTGTAAGGGCCTCTCAATAACTGAGACCCCCATGTTTACTCATCTGTGCCAACAGCAGCTAAACTACACTATAAAGTTTTATGGATCAGCATGAAAACTAAGCACTTTATCATCTTTATTCTTCCATAATCGAGTCATTAAAAAAAAGTTCACTAACCAGGAGGCTACAATTTTGTGAAAGTATCGCAGCCTAAAGTGGAAGGCTCAAGGCTGTAAAGGACCTCTCTGCCTCACAACAAAAATGAAACGGGAGCAAATCTATTAATGAGAACCATAAACTGCCAGTCACCTTTATTACACGTGTTGAAATCCACATCAATGACCAGCTTCACTTCAAAAAGCCCTGGCTGCCCAGACGGGGCCACCCACTCTGGGATCCCCTGAGGTCGGGTCAGGCCATGCCCTCAGGCCTGGTTCCTCTTTAGATCACAGCCTTCCCGATTGCAACACCCCATCCCTGATAGTTGGGGCAGGAACTCCTGGGGAAGGAGGATGCCCTGCCATCCCCAGGAGCAAAAAAAGGCCTCCCGGCAGGCCCTGCAGGGGTCCTCGGACTGGGCTCTGAGCTATCAGGGTTTGGAAGCCCCAAAGGAGGAATTTCAGGGTTCAGGAACCCCGGGCGAGAAGTGCCGGAGTGGAGCAACCCAGAAGAGCGACGTCTGGGTGCAGGAGCCTAGACAGGGAGATCGGAGTTTGGGAACCCGCAGAGCGGGTAGCTGTCACTCCAGGCCCAGGGATGGGAAAGACCTGGACACCTCCCATTAGCGACCCGCCATCCTCCGCCCTGGTCCCAGTGCCCCGGCCTCCACAGCGCGCGATGTCTCGCTCACCCGGCGCTGGGTCTCCGCAGCCACCCAAGAGCCCGCATCCCGCTGCAGCGCCACATGGCTCGTGATCCGCTCCGGGCCAGCCGGGGCACAGTCCTTAACCCGACGCACGGCCCTGGGCGGAGCATGACGGCCGCGACTCCTATTGGTCAGTAGGCACGGCAACGTCCTCTCCAATAGGCTGGCGAGGAAAAGGGCGGATCTCTCTGTAGCGGGATCGGGCTGGAGAGTGGAGCGTGGGCTCGGGAGGGGCGGGCCCGGGGGCGGGGCCAGCTGCTGAATGGAGGCGGGGCGCGGCTTGGAGAACGGGACAGATGATAGGCCGGGACGCCGTGAAGGACAGGGCTGGAGTGCGGGAAGGGGGCTGGGCACAGAGGGGGCGAGGTGAGGTGAGGGACCGCAGAGAACAGGTGAAGGACGGGACCTGTGCAGGCGATGGGCGGGACGCGGTGCCCGGCAGTCTGGAGCCCTGGCGGGTGAACACTGGGATGCTTTTTGGTCCCTCGGGCGAGGCCTGTGAACTCACTGTCTGCCGACCCACAGGCGTGGGCGGGAGTAAAGGATGCCCAGCTTGGTCCCTCTCCAGGAGCCTTAGCCTCCCGGGCTGGTGGCTTCATGGATGTGACCCGAGGGCTGCGCTGTCGGTTCCCCAGGCCAAGACCTAGTGATGCTGTGCCTGTTAGGAAGGGCACGGTCTCCTCGCAAAACCCCCGGCGCACCACGGGACCCCTCAGCGCTCCCGCCCCCGGGGCCCGCTACTCCCCACTTCGTTCCGTTCTGCATTCCTTTTTTAGACCGGCATCATAACATTTATTAAAATAATACTCTGAGTTAATAGCAACAGCAAAGAACCAGGGAATTAAAATTCTACGCTCTGCCTTCCAAGTCTAGCAAGACTGCAGGTGTGTGCTCAGATTTCCAAAGCAGCTCAGAGCCCCAGTTGGAAACCAGGGAGAGGCTTTAGGAGGCCAGGGCACCCCTGGGGTAGGTTCTGGCGCTGGGGCTGCAAGGGGAACATTTGGGGTTACCCAGGTCTGGGGAGTGTTTGGGTGGGACTTGGAAAACATAAGACACTCTTCTGACCTCGGTTTCACAGAGCCTTTCCCTCTTCCCGTCACTCTTGTCGCGCTCTCCTGGGCCGCTTAGTGCAAACAGGGTCACATCTTCCTCTCCCTTCTGCTGTGCCCCAAAGACAAAATGGCTACAGAAGGTTTAAACGTGTACAGGTGTTTCAGTAATATATAGAGACAGAAAGTCAGAAAGCATATATGAAAGTCTCCATAGTGGAGCTGATTCTGCAGTTAAGCAAGTACCTCCTTGGTGATGAACCAAAATGAACCAGAAGAAAGGTGATAATAAGAAGCTGTGCACACAAACACACTACGTTGTATTTTTCTTCTAGGGAAGATTTGAGTGATAAATTTTAGTGAGTCATCACATGTCTGTGATCTTGAAGAAGACAGCTGGATGTTATTAATCCTTTTGTGGGTGTGCAGGAAACTGAGGCACTGAAGGGGGGTTATATTTTCCCTCTCTGAAGAATAGATGCTATATAAATCCAGTAATTACCACTTACTTATATGTTCCCATCTTACTGATGGGTAACCTAGATACACATGCAGCAAGAATTTTAATTATCCATCTATAACTATTTATGAGCAACATTTGACCTAATTTTTAGATATATATGTAATTTCAATTTATATTAAGAAAATACAGTGCAGAAGTGAGAAATCAGAAATTATACATTTACTATATTACAACCTCATCCTATGTTATAGGGAAAAATAATTGTTTTGGCAAGGTTAACAAGTAAGTTTTTTTTTTTAACAGAATGCTTGGCACTAAGAAGAATAAACAAATATTAGGGTTTTGGAGTTTGTGTCTCCCCTAAAAGATGTTGGAGTTCTGATCTCACAATACTTCAAAATGTGACTGCATTTGGAGACAGGGTTTTTACAGATGTAATCAAGCTAAAATGAGGTAATTGGTGTGGGCCTTACCCTAGTATTATTGGTGTTCTTATACAAAAAGAAAATTTGGACTTGAAGAGAGACATACTCACAGGAAGAAAGGACAATGTAAAAATAAAGCCAGAGACAAGGAAGATGCTTCCATAAGCAGAGGAATGCCAATGATTCCTGCAAGTCACCAAAAGCTAGGTGAGAAACATGAGACAGATTCTGCCTCACAGCCTCAGAAGGGACAACTGCCAACACCTTGATCTTGGACTCCTAGCCTCCAGAACTGGAAGATAATAAATCTCCATTGTTTTAAGCCACCCAATTTATGGCACACTTTCTTACTGCAACCCTAGCAAACTAGTACAGAAAAGTCAAGGTTCTTTTGCCTCTGGGAAAAAAATGGAGTGATTGAATCAAATATGGTGTTTTCCAGCATTCCATTTCATTGACATAATGCATACTATTGAAAAACCTTTGTTTCTGAATGCATCATAAAACAAAAATGATGATTGTTGGAAATTGTTGGATAAGCTCAGTGTCTCCAAATTCAGAATTATGGAAACTTATAGGATGTCAACAAACTCAATACTAATAAGACAGTATAAGGAGAAAGAGATCTATACTTACTGAAAAAGAGCACTACTACACTGTTCCTGGGAATGTAAATTAGTGAACTACCATGGAAAAGCAATTTGGAGGTCCCTCAAAAAAACTAGAAATAGAACTACCTTATGATCCAGCAATGCTACTGCTAGGCATATATCTGAAGGAATGTGCTCCAGAATATGGTAAAGCTGCTTGCACACCCATGTGTATTGCAGCACAGTTTACAATAGCCAAGCTTTGGAAGCAGCCAAGATGTCCCATGACTGATGAGTGATTAAGAAAATGTGGTGTATATTCACAGTGGAATTTTATTCAGCCATAAAGAAGACTGAAATTACGTTGTTTGCAGGTAATGAAGCTCAAAAAAATCAAAGGTTGCATGTTTTCTAAGACCTATAAGTTAAATGTATATAGAAACATACATGGATATCTATCTACTATATAGATAGAGATAGATAGATAGATAGATAGATAGATAGATAGATATCAGAGAGAGAACAAAATTGTACTAGTGAGTCCATCTGAGGGGGCTATGGGAAGCAGGAGAAATGAAGAAAATGTTAGAGAGTAAAAACTATTGAAACAACCCATCTATATATGAATATAATATAATGTACTGTACAGTAAAGTGTTGAATATTAGGGAAGCAGAGGAAGTTAATTTGATTAAAGAACCCAATATAAACAGACATGGGGAGGGGAGTGGGCATAAGGAAAGCGTGAAAGAGAGTATATATATATTGAATGTATTTTTTATCTATATATGAAAATAGAAGAATGAAACCTGTTGAAATTGTTCTAAAAGTGGGGGAGGGAGACAAGGGGAAAAGGGAGAACATGGTGGGGGTAAATCCAATTAAGATATACTGTTAGCACATATGTAAAAATCACAATGTATCTCCCTGTACAACTATTTCTGCTTCTTGTTATAGAAAAAAAATCTGCAAATGGCCACAGAATAAGTCATTACCTTGGACCCTCATCTACAAGTACACTCTTTAGGATGTATCTTAGGCAGAGAAAGGAATCTGCCTCTTGCTGTCCTTAACATGTGTTTACTGATGCTTCAGGTGCTTTAATGGGAGAGAAAATGTGCAACTTCTTAGTGTTAACAAATGATCACAAACTTAGTGGCTTAAAACAACACAAATTCATTATCTTATAGTTCTGGAGGTCAGAAGTCTGACTTGGGTTTCAAGAGGTTAAAACCAAGATGTGAACAGGACCATGTTCCCTTCTGGAATCTTGAGGGAAGAATCTGGTTCCTTGCCTTTTTCAGTTCCTAGTGGTCACCTGCTTTCCTTGGCTCCTGTCCCTTCTTCCATTTTCAAAGGCTATGATGACTGGTTCAGTCTTCCACCTGATGCTGTCTCTCTGGATCTGATCCTCTGCCTCCCTCTTCTCTATTTCAGAACAGCTGTACTTTTATACTGGAGGTCATGTGATCAGTAACCTTAATTCCATCTACAACCTTATTATTATTATTGCTATTTTTGTGGTTCCAGGGATGTAACTCAGAGCCTACTTCATGCTAGGCAAACTTTCTACTACTGAACTATACCCCCAGCCCTCCTTCTGCAGCCTTAACTCCTTTGGTTCATTATGTGTTATGTGTTCACAGGTTCTAGACATCAGCATACAGACATATTAGGAGGTGATTGTTCCGTCTACAACAATGTTATAATCTTTTAAAATCCCGGAAGACCCTTTAAAAATAAAATACTTAGTTGCTTGTGAAAGAAAATTAATATTTTACTACTCTGTTGTTATTTTAGAATAAAATGATCAGATTTATATTCCTATAAAAGGTAATCTTTTGATACCAATTCATAATTTTTGCAGGTTTTCCCTCCAAGCTTCTTTCTTCAATTTTACTTAAGGTCAACATCTTTATTGTACAGATTAAATGTGAAGGTTTTATTACAAATCATTGGTATTTCCAGCAAAACATTCTGTAATATTCTAGTTTATTTGTATGAAGGAGGAATTTTGATATGTTAGACATAGAAAGAAGGAAATGAATATTATAATTTAATTTAATTATAGTACTTTTTTAGAGCTTTGAAACAGATACCTGTCTGTTATAGAAAGAATGAATAGACATGTATCAGAGGATGGCGGAAGGAAAAGAATACCCATGATAGCATTTATGCACTATTTTAATGCATTATTGTTTGCGGCACTGAAATAAATATTCATTAGTGAAATGTCTTTTTGGTGGAAATAAGCCTGTGGCAATAACACTTCTATAGAACATAAACCTCAGTGGAGAAGCTCTGTTTTTGTGACTTCTCAATTAATTTCTTTTTCTTTTCATTTCTTTTCTTTCCTGTAGTAGGGATTGAACCCAGGCCCTCACAAAGACACATGTTTAGGTAACTATGATACTACTGGAGCCACACCCCCAACCCTTCAATTGTTCTTTTGATTCAGACAACAGATCATCATGAAAGCAGATTCATTTAAATACACTTCCCAACATTGTAACCATTAAAATCTCTGCTTTATGG